GTCCAACCTCACCACCCTTGTGTGATGCTGGCTCTTACCTTCTCCTGCCTTTGTCCAGGTCAGTCCTGAAAGCCAAGACCATCTCCAGCCCAGGACTGGACTACCCAGTGATCTCTGCAGTTCCAAGGGCAAGGACTTGTTGGGGAGGTGATGGCAGGGAAGAAAGACAGAGGGTGTTTTCATCCAGAGGGTGGTGAGGCACTGGCACAGGTTGCCCAAGGAGGCTGTGGATGCCCCATCCCTGCAGGCATTCAAGGCCAGGCTGGATGTGGCTCTGGGCAGCCTGGGCTGCTGGTTGGCGACCTGCACACAGCAGGGGGGTGGAACTGGATGAGCATTGTGGTCCTTTTCAACCCAGGCCATTCTAGGATTCTATGATTCTATGATTCTATGAAACAAGCTGGAGCCTGCTGGTGTTCTCTGCCACGTTGCCTCATTAAATTAGCAGTCAGGAAGTTTAAAATTAATCAAAACGTTGTGGATTTCTCTCTTTAGCAGCAGAGGTGCTCAAGAAGTGTGGACGCGCTCAAGAAACAGATGTGGCACTTAGGGCCACGATTTAGTGGGCATGACGGTGATGGGCTGACAGTTGGACTTGACCTAGAGTTCTTTCCCAACCTTAACAATTCTACGATTCCCCAAATCCTCAGGCTGCTGCAGGGGTGCTGCCCTGTGCAGTGTGGCATGCATACGGGTCTCAAAGTCACACACAGAGCACTCACTGCCCCTGAGCCTTGCCACCACCACTGCCCATCGCACAGCCTCTCTCCTAAGAGCTGAGCACGAACTGCATTCCCCAGCAGCCTCGCATCCTCTCGCTGTTGGATCTTCCCCTCCTGCCTGGGTGGAGGGCTCCAGAGCTGCCATTCCTCCTCATTACCATAAAGCAGTCAGCTGCGGATTGTTCTACATGATGCTGCGACCACAATTTCATCCGTAGCTTTAAACAAATGGGAAAGTGCTCTAAAATGTGGGCTTTTATTGAATTAAATATTAACATAAATACAAGGCTGAATGCAGTGCTGGATTATTAATTTTAATATTTAATCCAACCAGAAAGCTTATGGTTGTGCTAGGGTGGTTTGTTTTCTTTCACCCAATTCATTTCCCCGTCAGCACTGAAATGAAGTTTTCTTAATGAAGGAAAGCGATCAGGAAGGTGTGCTCTCATGTTACAGAATATTAAGGGCTGGTGGCTGAGCGCATACAAATAAAAAGAGAAAGTGATAGCAACAGCAGTACTGGGCTGGTATGGACAAGAATAGAAGGAATGCCATGAATAGCATGCGCTGCTCAGAGGAGGCTCAGAGTTTATAGGGCAGTGTGGTACTTTTCCTTGGGTAAACACCAAGCAGAGCGTGGCAGGCAGGAGGAGAAAGGATATCCTGACGTGCCAACACATCCTTCTGTTTCATTCCTTAAGCTGCTATTTGAATGTTAGCTGTAAAACACTGAACCCACGAATAAAAAAATAAGGAACTCACTTTAATCTGGAGGGGAGGGCTGGATGGATGTCTCAGCCCGATGTGTTGCTGTTACTATTTGGTATAAACTCTGCCATGCCGCAGGGCAATGGGAAGAGGATCTATCTCAGCCAGGTCCTTCGGGTCCCCTGCCCAGCACTGCCGGGTGAAGGGGCAGAAAAGGCAGAAAAAATGCTTCAGCTGCTTGTTGGAGGGCGATCCTTTGAGACATTGCAGGCTTCGGATTATTACCTGTCACCACCAACCCAACAAACACACCGACCTGCCAGCATCAGCTTGCCAGGGAGCTGGAGATGAAAGGGTGCCAACGCAGAGAGACAAAGCCTGCCTCAGAAGCAGTGACACAGTGATTGTTGTTATTGCTTATAATCACACATAATGACAGCACAGGAGAGCACTGTGGCCACTGGGAATCGATTCACAACAAGCCCCTCCAGGCCTGAGAGAAAGAAACAATGACAAATGTCCAGAAACTCTGAGGGAAGTCAAGGATGAGCATCATGAGTTCATGCCTTGTCTGCGTGCTGGACACGTGTTAATAATGGCATCTCTTGGTCCATGGTGGGATCTCACATAGTGGTGGAAAATGACATAGGCAAGGGTGGTCGACACGGGTTCAGGTTTGCATTTTGGTCAGATTTGCCAGGCACACCACTGAGCTGTGTGGTGCTGAGGTGTAAGCTGTACTCACCAGCCCATCCTGAGCCAGCCTCACAGCTCAGCACGCTCCTGTCATGGAAAGGCAGCCAAGGACTGCATGGGGGACAGCTAGGCTCATATAGCTGCCTGAACCTGGAGCGGGTTCAAGTTCAGGAAGCAAAAGGGACCAAGCTCAGGCCAAAATGGATGGATGGACATCCCACAGAGGCGGATGGACAGACACCCCATAAGCTACATGGGCACGGTGTGGGGGTTTGAGGGTTAAGCCCCAGCCATGCTGAGCATCACGTCTCCTTGTTAATGGGGCTCGGAAGGCTGCATGGCCAGCACAGCTCGTGCAGGAGTGGCCTCTGCTCACTGCAGGGTATGTCAGGCTGAGCTGTCAGAACGCACTCTGCAAACGAGCAGCACTATGAGCTCTATGCTCACAGCTATGTGCTCCTCGCAGCCCTTTGCTGAGGATAAGCCAGAGCTGTGGTGGTGTGCAGGTGGAGCAGTGGGTGCTTGGCACTGGGAGTGCCTCCTCTCTGCACCACTCCTCATGGCATCACTCCATGACGGGCTCAGCATTGCCAAAGGCTACCTTCAGCCTACTCTTCCTCTTCCTCATCCTCATCCTCCTCCCACCCCCCTCCCACCCTCACAGCAGGCACGAGAAGTGCTGGTACTCACAATTACAAGCTCTGAGATGTCCTCCACCAACCCACGGCAGCTCAGTAGCTCTCTAGTGATGCACACTTCCATGGGACAAACTTAAGCCACTCCGGAAAGCTGGTACCCGCCACTCCTTTCCCAAGGGTTCTTCTTTAATGCGGGAAAAGCAAGAGCAAGCAGCTGTGTCCAGCTTGACGTGGAGCAGAAGCAGGAGGCTCCTTGTCTCTGTCTGCACTAGGGGAGGTGGGAAGCTCTGTTCCGAGAGTTTCATCCCATGCATGTCTAGGAGAGCCCAGGCTCGGCTCTGTCCTGGCACAGCTGCCATCAGGCTGCAGAGATGCTGACTGCCACGAGAGGACACCATCCTACCTCCGACTTCCTCAGCGCTCAGCCCTCAGTAAAAATATCCATAATAATATTACAGGGATCGAGTGGAACACACACGTCGGAGAGGAGAGCAAGAAAGAAACAATATGTTGATCATCCTGCTCTAACCAGCGAGAGCGCTGCCCTGCCATTTATTTCTGCAGCAAGTATCCCTTTAAATACACAAATCGCAAGGACATTAGGCTGTAACAGGCAGCCCAGGGATTAGTTTGAATAGACTTCATCTGGTGGTTTGTCGTGCGCGTGAGGCTGTGTGTTGGTTGACTTTAAAATGGAATAAACCACATTTAGCAGCTAGGTAGCTATGGAAACATAACCAAAATTGTTCTACCACCTTTCTGCCGCACTGCTTCCCGCAGCCCTGCAAATACTGTCAGGGGAGGGCTGAATATTGTTTCTTATAAATAATAGAATGTAAAGAGCTACAGAAAGAATCATTGAATTAGGATAGCGAAGCGGAGATGGTTCGGGGGAAAAAAAAAACCTGCCCAGTAGATGTAATATTAGTTTCTGATGACTTCGCAATGATAAGAAACTTAATTTTATTCTTTTGTATTTTTGCAGCTTGCAGAAAGGCGTGGGGTGAGGAAATAGATGTATTTTGGTCATGCACTCGTGTGGAGGTTAGTATGTGTGTGTGTATGTAAACACATGCACACAAACGCTGCTGGCTGCATCCACGCGAGCAGAAATACACCCACAGCAGTCGGTGTTTGAAAAGATCTCGCCTGCTGCCCCAGCCCACAGCTGGGCTCTGACCCCCCCCCCCCTTCCAACCCCACTTTCTTTCCCAAGCGAGGGGCTCACAGCTGAAGGGGCCTCCCAGGGCGCTGCTGAAATTGGGCAAGGGAGGCTGGCAACAGGGGTCAGCAGGACGAGGACGGGGACGAGGTAGGATTCTGTGCCGTCACAGAAACGAATAGCAACGTGGTCAGATGTGCCACCTCTTAGTGATGGTCCAACATGGATGGGGTTTTTTGGGTGCTGTCCCAGTTCAGCATTACCAAATGTCAAGCAGAGTCAAGGCTGGGATTTCTAAATAGCATCAGCACAGATGCAGAGCAGATGCTTGTCCAGCTCTACATTCAACTCTTCCAAGCCACCCAGGGCTTTCTTCCTCTCGTTTTCTCCTTCAGATCTGTCCACTTCAGCTCAAGTTCTCGAGGTCCTGCTATGAAGTCCCTGTAACTCCTTTTCCATCGTCCCTTGGCCCTGAGACACGGCCACCAGAAGCACATGCAGCACCTGGGATGGGGATGCACAGTGGACGCACCCCGCAGCACAGTGGCAGCCCGTTTCACTCTCCATTCCTTTCTCCGTAACTCCTAGGATGGCCACTGCCTTTGTGATCACTGCTGACATTTCCACAAACAGCCTGCCTTACCTCCACAGCTTCCTTCCAGAGAGGTAATAGCTCATTGAGACTGTGCTGCTGTATAGGTACAGCCGCTGCTGATTTTTTTCCATCTGCAGTTACCAACAATGAATTCCCTCTGCCATTTCATCACCTGCACGCTGCAATCCTCTGGCATTTCTTCGCAGTCAGCTTTTGTCGGCACTGTTCTGAATAATGCTGTTGCCTTGCAAGTTTTGTTTCCATCTGCTCCCTTTGCCAGTGTTTGTGGATCCGCTGAACAACAGGAGCCCTACCACGAGACCCCTGCCCTAGAGCAATTGGATTGCCCCTTCTCACAGTTAGATTCATAGAATCACAGAATGGTTGGGTTGGAAGGGACCTTACAGCCCACCCAGCCCCAACCCCTACTGTGGGCTGGCTGCCCCCTACCAGTTCAGGCTGCCCATGGCCCCATCCAGCCTGGCCCTGAGCACCTCTAGGGATGGGGCACGCACCCAATACCCTACATCACATTGCCTTCTTCAGATATGGGATTCACCAGCATGCCAGCTGCTCCGTCCTGCCTGCTGGAGGAGCTTCATGGCCCCATATCATCATTCTGAGGTTAGCAGCAGGCCCCTCTCCAGGCCTGTGTGTTGTTGCTTTAACAATCAGAGGGATGGAAAAACAAAACCCTTTACTGTCTATTGTTAAACTTTACTGTCTAATGTTTTAATAAACAGTCAACTTCTTCCTCTGATCGTTAAATCAGCAGTAAAGCAGTATGGAGACGGGTTTATGAGATCCTATCTGCATCACTAACATACAAATGTGAGGTCTTGGCAGCTGTGAGCAGCTACACCCCATCACATGGCTTCCTGCCTGCTTCGAGGGCTGGATCCGCTGCGGGTTTGGAAGAGGTACAGCTCCTCCTGCCTGCTGGGAGATGGGCAGAAAGAGACCTCACAAGGGCCCTGCTCACCCTTCCCCACCAAACTCCACACCTGTGGAAAGAAATTGGTGCAGACAGGACGACTGCCCCATCCCCAGGAGGGGGACGTCCTCCTTGAGAAATCAGACAGGGGACATCAGCCCAGAATGGGACAGGGTGTATCCTGCTGTACGCCCTGCAGCAGCCATTCCGGCTCCATGCTCTGCAGCAGTAAAGCCAGGCTAATGAACTCGAGTGCCACACAGTCAATGTCGAAAGAAACTTCAACCCTTTGTTATCTCTGGGATGATTTGTGTTTGCCTGATAGCAATAACCCCCTTTAATCTCTGTTTCTCCAAGCATCCCCAGCCTGCAGCCCTGCAGCTGTGTGCCGCGTGGCTCCGAGCGCAAGCAGCCACGGTGGTCTGCGTTCATTCCATGCAGGGCTCACTTCTAAACACTTCCCAAAAAGTATATCTGGCACTTCTCCTCCAAGAGGAATAATGATTGCCTTACCCACCTCCAAAGTAATTTTTAATAGATCACAGTTGTTGCATCAACTTTGATCACCCAAACGAGGGATTTATCTCCTTGGGGGTGGCTCTGTCAGCAATAGACACCAGGTTTCCTGCCTACCACCATTTGTGGGCTGTTGCAACCATTTGTCCAGTCATAAAATTATTAGCACATTATCCCTGGGCAACGACTCGCAATTTTCTCTTTTTATTACTCAATAAACAGTTTGGAACCCAACCCCCCAGAGTGAGAATAGAAACTAACCCACTACTTACACATCCATAAGCGATGCCACAAGGAGAGAAGGTGTAGGAACACAGAAATGCTACAGAATATATGTATATAAATAAAAGAAGACAAGTATCTTGCATGATTTTTGTCATAATGGAAGTAAAATGTGGCTTAGGACATCTGCAAAGGAATAAGGGAATAGAGTCAAAGCTTGGAGAAGACTCACACAAGAGGGCTGCTGGCACAAGATTTCCTCCACCCTGGTTTTCTATATGTTGCCCCAAGTGCTAACGCTTCCTATTGAGCAGGTCTGGGTGCCCAGAGGGCACTGAGGAAAAAAAATTCAGCACATAGTTGATTCAGTGTAGCTGTATTAATTCCAGCTATATTATAGCTATTTATTTCCAGCAAAGGCTAGGGGAAGGGGCTTTTGTGGAGGAAGGGGATTTTCTAAATGAAATAGAAAAGCAGTTTATGGAGAGTGAAAACTGGTCCCAAATCCAAGTCTAATTGAATAAGAAATAACCTGGATGCTTTCTTTCCATTCATAAGCTTGTTAAAATTCTGAAAGTATGTACATATAATCTTACATTTACTAAACAAATCTATTCCGTTTTTTTGTTTCAGCGTGACATTTTCTATTTCAAAGCTGACCTATTTTGAGGAGTAAGAAAATTAGCTGAATTCCCCAAAATCAAAACACTTCATACTGGTTGAATAAAATATCAGGAGGCTTCTTTTTACCCTCTCTCCAGAGAAGTACGCTCCTCGCAGGGGGGGGTCTTCCAGAATGGATTTTATTTATCCTTTTGAAGTCCACTTCAGCCATAGAACAGGGGGAAAAAAAGCCTCCAGACAATCTGCACAGCAATGATTTCCAAGCTACATTCATGTTCAAAATCGTTCCCATGGATTTGGGATATAGGAATTTGAAGCGTAGGTAGGGGTTGATGAACGGAGTGATGGATTTTGCCTGGAACAAAGGTTTTTTGGGGGGCACTATCTCACAGAAAAGAACCAAACACAGGCTACAGTGTCCTACTGGCTCTCAGAATCATCACTGCACTTTGTTGGCAGCTTTGGAAATCAAGGTGAGTGGAGGCTGTGTATCACATGCCAGCCTGCCGGGCCAAACTCTGGATGAAGTCACTCACAGTGCAGGGGCAGCTTGTCAAAGTCATTCTTCTAATGTTTTGAACACTTCCCCTGCCAGTATTTGATTAAAGAGATTTTTAATCAGCTCAAGACATCTTGCACTATGGCTGATATTGGTGTGAGAGGGAATAAATAGCTCTCAAACATCTCAAAATCCAAAGATACATGTTAGAGGATCTGTGCAAGACTGCCTGTTGTTTTTGGAGATGCAGGTTAATAAGGATCACTCACTCTCTGGCAATACTTCCAGTCCACAAGAAGCAGCCCTTAACGTAGCTGGGGAAGGCTGTCTCACAGAAAGGTCTGGGCAAGCTGACATGGCAGGAGGTTTTCTTCCTCTTTTCTTTGGAGCCATCCTATGCCACTCTCCTCCTCTGCAACAACGCCGGGCTGGAGAAAAAAATAAACCCATTTGCGTTACGATTTGCACATCTCAGAGCCTTTGCTCCAGGCTGCCCGCAGGCACAGCTGGCCAACTCAGTGCCTTCACCAGGTTTCCTTGACGATGTCTAAAATATTTTCTTTCTAAAGCTGGACTCCGAAGCACGGATCCTGTCCTCGCGCCAGGCCTTGCAAACCCGGCCTCCGTTTGAAGTCAGTTGCCTGAATTTGGGATGGAATGAGAACCGTGTCGCTTTCTGACGGCGGAAGGCAGAGGCTCAACTTCCAGAAACTTTTTCACAAAGGGTTGTGTTGGGACTGCGCAGCGCAATCAGTGCATGAGCTGTTAACGTGGAGCTCATGATTGCTCGTAGCAATCACGGGGTCTGAAAACACAGCAGGATTCAAAGGAAGATCAGCCACTCACACAAGGTAACAAGGACATCTTAAAATGAGCAGCTATTGAATTGGGATTCAGAGCTAATTTATCCCAAAGGAAGGTTATTTGTTAACTGCCTCTTGAAGATAGAGCTGGAGGAAGGGTGACAATTCCTCTTCACAGCCACCCCCAAGGATTATTCTTTCTCATCTGGAACGAAAAATAAAGCTTCTTGAAGGTGGGGGACAGGAACTGCAGGCAGCAGCACAGATGCTGCAGGATCACGTCTCTGTTGCCTCAGTGAGACAGATTCTCCAGCCCCAGAATCCAGGGCTGACCATCTCCTGAATCAGCTCTCATTGCCCAGATCCTGAGTCTCACTAGCTCACTCTCTGCCCCATTTCCAACTCTCTCCCTTCCACACAGCACTCTGAATTCAAAAGGCCTCCTTAGAAACAGATGGGTGGTATTCAGTTGCCAAAGCACGAAGACCTCATTCTGTTTGGGCTGTCCAAGGGTATTCCTCACAGCTTGTTGCCACTCCAGATGGGCAGCAGCATCCCAAGGATGCTGATCTGTATTGGCATCTACTGTAGAGATGATGGGTACCCGTGTCTGGTACCAACCACTGTGGATAGGTGCACTCCTAGCCCAGCCTCTGGGGCTGGCAGTGAAGAGGAACTGCAGCCCTCTCTTCTGCTCTATCAGAAACTCTTCAAGAGGTGGTTAACAAATGACCCTCACTTGGGATAAATTAGCCAAATAACGGGCACTTGAAAGATAGAAGAGCCTCTTATTTAGGTAAGAAAGTGTTTATTCTCTCTCTAACGACTCCTACTGACACCACTAGCTGACGGTGATCAAGATCAAAGTGAAAACACTGGACTGACAGTGCCTGTGCTCCTCATTAATGTGTGACCTCCAGCAGGAAGGCTAGCTTATGCACCACCCTCATCTCCACACCTGATGAGCCATGCACATGACACCAGAAGCAATGCTGCAGCCACTCCCAAATACTCGAGAAAGCCTTTGAAGCCAAACTGTCAGGACTGGTGAGAGCAGCCCCATCAAGTCCAAAGGGAGATTAACCAAACTCATGACATTGCTCCTTCGCTACCATTGCCACTCACTTGCTTCGATGAGAAGTCAGATCATTGATCACTTGCTTGGCCCTTTGTTGGCCAGTTCCAGAAGTCAGAAATGTCACAAATCCATCAGTCCTTACCTGGGCCCTGCTTACCTCCAGGCCCATGCACACTCAGAATGTTTCCACGTAGGCACTATTTCACCATTTCGTAAAGTTTCCTCCTGAGGATGACAGAGCCAGTCAAATGAAGTCAGTTCCCTAAAAGATCAATGATACAGTGGTGAGATGCAGAGGTTCACTTTGAACCTCTCTGGGCGACTGTGAAAAGTCAGGAATCAGTGAGTGAGAAGCAGGGCTATATCCTCCTTGCCAAGTGGGTCAAGCTCCTCATTCAAACCACCAGCCCCATCCAGACAGTGCTGAGCATCCCTTTGAACCATTCACTTTAACCATCCATTCTAACCATTCATTCTAACCATCCAATTGCCCTACCAGACAGAAATAATTTAACACCCTAAAACCCGATGTAAGGGGACCACGGTGTGGATAAGGCACAGCCACGGGAAGCACAGAGCCCCAGAGCTCTGCTCCAGAGGCAGCAAGACAACTCTGAAAGGGAGCAAAGACAAAAATGAGGCTGAGAGCAGCAAAAATAAATCAGTGACAGAGTTTCACACAAAGACAAATGAAGTTGAAACCCATCCTTGTTTATTTTAATGTTTGGAATGTTTCCGAGGTGATTTATGCCCCCACTTGAATGTATTTTTCTCCCTTTGTCTTTCTCTCTCCCCTCTTTTATTTATTTATTTTTATTTTTTTAACAGAAAAAAATATATATATTTGGGAGTTAATTGGATTTCCAGGCTTTGCAGCCAGACACTGTAATTGATCTCTGAAGAGATGGATTTGTCAGTTGGCTGGGCATGCATTTGACAACACGAGAAGAAAGGAATGAGGAACTCCCCCTGCGTGCAAAGCCAAGGTGTGTTCCCATGGCTGAGCCCCTCAGCACTGCCTCAACCTGTGCCACTGCTGCCCCACTTTTCTATCTTTGCCCCGTATTGCCCAGTCAGCTTGTGACTTTGGGCCCCTTCAGGTAAGATACCCGTGAGATCTGAACAAGATAATCCCCTTACTTAAAGCTGTGTCTCAGAGGGTGCATCTTGGCTTCTGTGCCACAGCAGCTCCTCGAAGCTCCAGCAAAAACACATTGGCTTTCATCCAAGACATGGGATACTCCTTGCTTTCCCAGTCCCTCTCCATGCCTTGCAACTCTTATTTCCAAAGCATGGATGCATAAACAAAGAGTCCCCACAACTCTAGCTCCTGCCACCAGCCAGCACTGCTCCACACCCCAGCTCAACCCTTAACCCATCTCTGCTCTCAGCAGGCAGCACCTTCTGTTGGTCACAGCAGACTGATTCAGAGAAGGCACTGAGTTGGAGGACAGGAGCAGAGTGTGCCCAACTGCTTCTAGCCACGCTTCCCATTTCACCCAAGCAGTTTCCAAGCATCCCCACCAAGTCAAGCTCACGCTGACTAGCAGCACAACAAACCTTTGGCCATGCCCAGTGTGTTCAGATCATAAGGATCATGAAATCCCCAAAGTTTGGGCTTGAGAATATGCTCCAAATAGCTGAGATGGCTGTATACACAGAATCACAGTGACATTTCTCACTTCCCACCAAGCCTCTGCAAGCAAAGAGGGGTTATTTCTCTGTTATATGTAGCAGAGAAATTTAAATTCTGGTCTCATCTTAGCTACTGCAAAAGGTCTGATCCTGCTGCTTTGAACAGAGCTCTATTGGAGGCTGCTGCTTTTTAAGGTTCCTCATTCAAACCCGTCATGGCCACGTGCTCTCTGCTGCCCATCTCCACAGCAGATGGCAAGCAGCCGTTCCCGACAGAATGCAGCAAGCTCCAGCACTCCCGTGGGGAATTCAAGTTTGCACAGATCTCTGCAGGTGATTCCACATGGGAACTCGGCACAAAACGAGCATGGGGAAAAAACTTCAAGAATGGGCAAGAAAGGCATTTCTGGGAGCATGTTTGGCAGGGTGAGTTCTGGCTTCCCCAGCAGAGCATCCTTCTCCCATCACATAGGTATGCACTTAAGCCCCACTTGACTTTGGTTATCTAGGAGATTGCCACATCCTAGGGCGAAAGCACTCTGCAAATTTTGTCTCCTTAATGCAAAACCCGTCTCATTTCACATTTGGTCATGGATGCCCCATCCATGCATGCATTCAAGGCCAGGCTGGATGTGGCTCTGGGCAGCCTGGTCTGGTGGTTGGGGACCCTGCACATAGCAGGTGGGTTGAAACTAGATGATCACTGCGGTCCTTTTCAACCCAGGCCATTCTGTGATTCTACGATGCATCCTAAATCCCAAGCCACTGGTACAGCTCCCAAGGAAGCCAGTGAAAAAACATCAGCCTTTCTGAGCCAGAGACCCCTTTCTATTTGCAAGCAAGTCAAAGGAAGGCACCAGATTCCCATTCACCTGCCAGCTTGCCCAGGAGATAAGGAATTGCAGCCCTTTTATCTGTTACAGCTCTGTCTGAAAAGCCTGGCAGAGCCTGCTCCTGTGTGAGTTAGTTGCACTGTGCTGATGTTTTGCTCCTAGAAGCAGCCCTATAATAATTGACCCAGCTTTTCTGTGCTGCTGACACCACCTGGCACGGCCTGGCAGAAGGAAGCACTGCGTTTGCACAATGCATAATTAAATACAGAGCTAACTTCCATGGGAAGCTGCCGTGGCCAAGAATTTGTGACATTTTGGAGGGGAAGCAGGCATGTGTGCGGATAACAAGAATAGCCAGAGTAACGACAGCTAAATACCAACATGCCTGTTGACAGTGCTATTGATATGGCAGGCAGCCTCCCGTTATTGGAGATGATAAGCATATCTACCATGTGATGGATCTGCCTTCTGCTGCCTCTCCCATTGCAATGGCTGCTTGTGGCATCGCTCAGAGAGGTCAGAGCTGTGTGGGCACTGCAGATCCCCACTTCTAGTGTTGTTTTTTTTTTATTCTAGCGCATGTGTTGAAAATATTATGCAGCTTTGTTTTGTTGTTGCTTGCACTGGATATAAAACTCTGTGCGACGGGAGCGTTCCAGAATTGCAAACCTTGTTTATAGGCAGGAATATTGCTTTGTGCAGGTGTAAGGTATCACTCACGGCAGCATTACAGCTCCTACACACTGTGACAAGGAAGCAGCTCGCAAACGGTCACGCAAAGGAAAACATCTGTTACAAGCTAGCAGGTACACAGATCATCAGCAAATTGCACAGCTTGCGCCTGATTTTCCCCTTGCTTTGTTTCGCAGCTTGCAGCAGTGCAGCTCAGGAGCAGGGGGGACGTGGTGAGCGCTGCTGGGGCCGTGCAGCCCCAGGGCCGTGCCTGCAGATGTGTGTTGTGCCACTTCTGTTTAACTCGGGTGCACTTCTTTTTGCCTCCACCTCATGCACAGCAGATTTCCTGATATCAGCTGGACCTTCCCATCTGCTCTGTGTTACAGAGCTTAGATCAGGAAACAGCAGGATTCTGTTTCCATCAGACAGGATCTGTGGTCGATCTCCAGCCAGCCTCAGCACTCAGCCGTGCTTCCCATCATTGCATGCAATGGTCAGAAAGGAGGATCCCCCTGCGCCCTCCTGACCACCTACTGCCCACACTCCCACCCATTTAGATGGACTCAGACAGCCCTCAGCATTGGTTGTCATCAAACCCCTCCTCCTGCTCAGCCTTCACATCCTTGCCCCACCAAAAGCTCTTGCTCTATCCTCTATCCTATCCCTGGAGGTGTTCAAGGCCAGGTGGCATGGGGCCCTGGGCAGCCTGGTCTAGTGTTAGATATGGAAGTTGGCAGCCCTGACTGTGGCAGGGGGTTGGAGCATCATGATCCTTGTGGTCCCTTCCAACCCAAGCCATTCTATATGTTCTGCTCCCATCCATGGAAATCCTCCCTGCATCAGGGGGCCAAAGGTTTAACTTTGCATCTTCTTTCTAAATATGTATGTGATCTTTCCCCCTTGAGCAAAGTAAAGAGGGGGCAGGAGGAGAGGAGCCATCTCTGGCCCCACCGTTCCATCACCTGCTATGAACTGTATGATCCTGGAGCTTCTGCTCCCACCAGCTCTCCGTCAGACACATCAATGCCTCCAGCACGTGATTTGTCATGTCAGAGGAGTTCACCACTTCTGGCACCAAGCAACACAACTTATTAAGTCTCAGACACACACCTTAGCAATCGATGGGAATTTCAACTGCAACTTCATTGAGAAAAGGATCAAACCGTTTAAAATCCCATCCCTCAAGCAGAGCGGTCTTGCACTCTGCAGAAGCCCTGTGTAAACACTGGGGCTTCATCAGCATCTGCTTCGTGGGATGGGGGGCAGGGGTCACCGCACACAGTCTGGAGAGACCCTTTGTGAGCCACCATGCAATTCCTGTCACCCCAAATTGGGGTCACAGATGGTGAGCTCGGACTGGAACTGGCTCAGAGGAAGACTATCTGGAGCAGCAGAGCAAAGGTGGCCTTTTTACAAAAGTCAGCTGCTGGGAGAGCCCGAATTGTTAGTCTAAGAAAATGAAGGTGGAGAGGTGATAAAATTGTTCTCTCTCCATATATCAGGGGGTTGAACATGAAGGAAGAGAAAGTGCTGTTTAAGTTGGAAGGACAACATCAGCAAAAGGTCACAAACTGACATTGAATAAATTCAGGTGAGAAGCTAGAATGAGGTGTTTTACTGTCCAAACAATTAGAGGGAAAGCTAATGCATTAAGAAGGGGTTTTTCAGCTTAGGGAAATGGTGAGAAGCTTCACTGTCTGCAATAGCAGAAGGAATAGGGAGAAGGACTTGATGGCCTGGGGGTTCTGCAGAAGCAGTGCTTTTGCTTTTAAAACAGCACTGCTGTAGCCATGCAGACCAAGAAGGGCAGAGAGGCAAGGTGTGCTTGGAGCAACAATCCATTTGTACAAGGTCAAAACGATTTAATTGGAAAAACGTGACGAGTTTGAGACTTGGGTCCAAATTGGAGCAGTAAAAATCAAGGTGAACACAAATCAAGAGACTGTGATAATACATAGGAGCCTGAGGGCTGGATTCCACCCCTCCAATGGGTGCTGGGGTGAGAGAAGGCAGCTTGGAGCAAACACCAGCAGAAAGTGCCCGTTGCCATGCCAGTGCCAGCTGTCCTGTTGCAGCCCATGGAAATCCATACAGAAAATCATTAAACAATTACAACCTC